TGTTTGCATAGAAGGCTATAATAACACATTATTATGCTTTGCAACGCTGCTATTTTAGTTTTTGTCCGATTTGTACTCAATGGATCTGATTTGGTAGATATGTAAATATACTTTTCCACCACTATGTTTTTATCGAGAAAGAAACATCTTAATATCATGAGAAGTTCTGGAAAGAATGAAATTAATAGAATTTGCTCACAACACCGTTAGATACTTTGTTGAAAAGTACCCACGGTCAATATGCCTCCGACATTGCACAAATATTTTATTCATGGGCCTAAAATAATATTTTCTGCTTTGTTGCCTAGAGACCAATTAACAGAGAAAACTAATGAGGATGTCTTTAATTCGTTTTTACTTAGTTTCGACCTTGTAATCACGAGCAAACGAAAATTAAAAAAGAAAGAACCTGCAGCACTTTCCTAAAGAAGCAGTAGATTTGTTTAAATCTGGATTGGTCCAGCTTCATAGCCATGGTATATTCATGACACTGATGATGACCGTGGAGACGATGAAGAAAATGTCTTATCACATTCTAAAGAGGATGAAATTTGATTACAATTATCATAGCTTTTCTAAATAAAATTATTATAATTTTACATTTTTATTATCTGTATCTTTAACGTGTGGAAAGTGGATTACCCCCACGGCACTTAGGCCCTCATTAGGCTCATGACATTTTTATTATATTATATTCTTAATAACTTTCTATTTTTTTAGCAAACAAACACTTTATAAGCCCTCTATGTATTTTCATTTGTAATACTAACACCTCTAAAAAGCAATATTTAACTTACAAATTCATAAAGAAAGTCTGTGATTTATTGCCAACTTTGATGGCTTGTTGCCCCAGGGTGCGACGTGGGTGAAAAAAACGGTCGGAGCGCATGACAATTTGGACGCCAGACTGTCAATTGCGAGCATCCCACGAGCATCCCACGGGCGTACTACGATAAGTTTTAGCTGTTTTAGCTGCGTATTAATCAAAATCATTTTTAAGTTATTTTCTTAAATTAAAAGGTGTCATAGTTGAATGTAATAAGTGTTAAATTTAATTTTGATGTTCCTTTTTAGTGCCTTTCGATAAGCACGTGTGGGTGCCAGAGTAGGGTTTCCACCTATATGCCAAGCTTGTAAGAAACAAAAAAAATCCTTTTCGTCATTCTACGGAGCCTTTAAAAAAGTCCTCAGCTTATATATTTTTGTACAAACCATGTTCCTTCCAAAGATATGTGCCGTAAAAAGAAGACATTTGCCGTAAAAAAGGACATTACGTCATAAGGACATTTTGGTCAAGGACTGTCCTTTTTAAAAAAGGATAGGTGCCAACCCTAGTCCCTGGCGTTCAATATATTTTCGGTTACCCATGACTATCAAGACTAGAGAGAAGGAGGCGAATCGGCAATGGTCAAATTTCAAAAATCCGTCCTTCTTTTTATAAAGTTCGCGAAATTGACTGTAGTTGGCATGTCTAATGACAGCGCAGTCAATTTTCTATGTAAGTCAATGTAAAATAAAGTGATTTTTTAAGAAGTTGATGAAAAGAATCAAAATAATGTGAAAAAAAGTACCTGAGTACAAGTAACATGATTTACGTCGTTTCAGATCGTAAAACAAGATAAAAATAAAATGTAAAACTAAAGAAAACACAAGAAGAAATCAATTTAATGTCTTTTTAAAGCTTTTAATGTAAGTAAAATAATGTATTCATTATTCTTAGGGTGGAGTGAAAAATTTTTTTTTTTATAATTTTGTAAGGCCTATATGTGGAAAGGTTGCCTCTTACTGCCAGTATTAAGTGTTATTCTGCATAACTGTCATTACTATCTTACGCATAATTACTAATAAATATTAAAGTTAAAAAAGTATTAGAAAACGTTCCTAGAATCAAATAACAACCTAATATAACGTCTTTGACAAAATACGCCATGCTCCTTGACGACTTATCGACAACAATATGGCAACCTTTTTGTCCGCAAAGTCGTTCGCAACAAATCGGCTGAACTCGTGAAATCAGGAATTCGGCTACGAACGGTCTACCAGTTTTATCCAATTGACTTAGTTGTTTTGCAGCATTAGTGCCATAGATAAATTAATAAAACAAGATGAATTCTTTAAATGTACGCCACTGTCAACACGTGGTAGTTCCCAGCATACTATTAGTTAGCGCCACCGTCGCAATAGCATGAAAGCGATGTTGCCGGTTTCCGTAAACTTTCATGAGATGGAGTTATTTCAAATTCATCTTACTTTAATTTTTTATCAATCTACATGCGCACCATAGCATCCATACAATGTCCATACTATTGCTGGGATTTTTAAAAGAAGGAGTTGACAACCTCGTAAAAAATGAAAACCGTGATGGCGGAAGGCTAAAGGCCAAATATGATAATGAAATGTTAAAACTTATTTTATGAATTATGATGAAAGTTCTAAAGATCGGCAAGTTATTCTTAAGAAGATAAACAGTGTTGATTTGATGTAATTGGTAAGTATTAGCAATTTAATTTAATATTAAAGGTGTGTAGATTTATTTAAGGACTTTGTTTATCATTCTTTTCTTAACCTTATATAATTTCATATTTCATAGATTTTCAATTGTTTTTATATTTGAAACAAGAAATGTCTGGCCCGGGTATAGTCAAGTATTCTCGAGAGTATTCTTGTTCAGCTCCTAATTGTTTAAATAAGTATTATTCTAAAATTCAGAAAGTTGGATACCTAATCAAATATTAAACCTTTTTCATTTTCCTTCCCATATTAAAATTTGCCAGAACTGGTTTAAGACTTTAAATTTAACTTTAGATAATAATACCCGCTATCTTTGTCTGGACCATTTTTGCCTGAGTCTTAGTAGGGTTTCATCAAAACGTAAACTGTTAGTTGGACATTCTGTACCAATTTCATTAGATAATTGTGCATCCAGTATCCAGTTCCAATATACAACCTGAGAATTAGATTTTAGAATAAGTTGAGGCCGAAGCACAAATATAGCAGCATAAAAAAAGCAATAAATTAGTTGCAAACTTAATAATTAGTGATGAACAATTTGAACGACCCTTGAAACGAAGAAAAACAATAAATAAATAAAAGTAGTCAGAAATTTAAGTCCTAAAGAGAAAAAGTTGTATTTTATTAATATTTGATAAGAGAAATTGTTCAATAAGACATATGTACACTTTTTGTTTTGTTTTTATAGGAAACACGGGACACCCAACAAAATATGGTCCATTTTTCTAAGAATGGGGAGACTACCTACTATTCATTTTACTTACAATTGTTATTTACTGTTGAGCTCATGTATGTATGTATGTATTACTGTATAATAAATAATTAAAATATATGTTTCAAATATTTTATTTTAATGTAAATATTTTTTGTTTATATTTTTTGGGGTTTTATTACGAAAAAAACTAATATTTATGTTAAATGCATTATTTTGATGTAAATATTAGTTTTTTTTAGAGTAATGAATGCCAAAAAAATGTAAATAAATAATAAATTATATTTGAATGAACCGCGGTTCGCTTAAAGCTCTTCTTTTTTTATTCTTCTCTTTCTTATTCGGCCTCTAACTAGCAAGTCAATCAGCCAGTGTAGTTCAAAAAAAATCCGTTCCATACTAATTCGCAGCACTGTTTGTTTCCAAAAATTAACACGGGATCCGACTATCTTCTTTATTAATTTATCTATGATTAGTGCGGTACGCTTGATTGTGTTTGCATGCAAAATATGTATTTACACGACGTAATTCAATGTGCCCTGTGTTTGGTTTGCCAAAACCGTTTAAAAACAATGTGTTACCGACCTACGCGGATATTATAAAATATTATTTATATCTTCGACAAGAACTTGTACAACAAAATAAACAAAGACCTGGTTTCGCTGAAGATGTGTGTTCTCCTTTAATAAAATACTTGAAAAACTTGTGGCAGAAAAGTTCCATTAGTGTGGTGTCAGACCAACAAATATTACATAAAATTCAGGAATACCACAGTAAATATCGTAATATTATGAAACGGTTAAAAGGATGGTAAACTTAATAATTCAAAGCAAGTTGTTTTGTTCAGAGAATCGGCTGAGAAGAAATTGTTTGATATATCTGTATGCAAATGTAAAAACTTTTTAAAATGTTCTTGCACAGTAAAAGTGCCTGTAGATGAACGTGAATTTCTAACCGACCAGAGAACCTTTTGAAAAATGGCAATCGGAGCAGTTGATCAAAAATATACAAAAATATTTGAAAAGAGATTGAAGCGTGAAAATAAAATAGAACAAAGAAAGATTAGTCATGATCAATACAAAAAATCTGAAATACCCAAACCATATCAATCAGTGTCATCAAGTTCAAAACAAGAGACTGCAAGCGCCAATTCATCAGAAGAAAATCCCATTAAATCAGTTGATAGTATCAATATGCCTTCAAGTTCTCAGATGAGAATAAAACTACCGAGTGTAGCACAGGCTTGTGATAGAACGGGTGTTTCTGACAGGGCAGCAGCAATTCTTGTTAGTGTTGCATTAAAAGATAAGGGAATAGTTAGTCCTGAGGATCCATCAAAAATTGTCGATCGCAGCAAAATTCGAAAGGAACGAATAAAATCTCGAGTTGACCTTAAGAGAAAAGACAAAGAGGAAGGTTCTGAGTTGGTATATGGAATATATTTTGATGGAAGAAAAGACCAAACTCTAGTTCAAACTACTCAAGAAGGCATTTCATCCAAGAAAACAAAGGTTGAAGTGCATATAGTCCTAGTTTCGGAACCAGGATCCAAATACATTGGTCATCCTGCATCTGGCATCTCGCAAAGTGTAAAGAGAAGCATTCTAGAATTTTTGGAACATAATTTTGACATTTCTAATCTGCAGGCTGTAGGCTGTGACGGTACAGTAGTAAATACCGGTTCTAAGAATGGAATAATCAGACAGCTTGAGCTTTCTTTGGGTCGATCCCTATAATGGTTTGTTTGCTTATTGCACGCAAACGAACTACCTTTAAGACATCTGTTGCAACATTTGGACGGGAAAACCACTGGTCCAAAAGGATTTCATGGTAAGATAGGAAAGCAATTAGAAAAATGTGAAACTTTACAACCTTTAAATTTTAAAAGAATAGAAGTTATTTTGCCTGAAATTAATGTTGATGAACTTAGCACCGACCAAAAATATCTATATGAAATTTGTTGTGCCATTTCTAAAGGTTACATTTCTTTGAATTTGTCAAAACAAAGCCCTGGTAAAATGGCTTATTCTAGATGGCTTACAACCGCAAACAGAATTTTACGATTGTATGTATCCACAGAAAAACCATCACAAAACCTAAGTATTATAACAGAATACGTCATCAAAGTTTATGCCCCTACATGGTTTGCAATCAAAATCTAACCATCATGTCGATATGGGAGCAAGCATCTATTTGGTATGATTGAAAAATCAAGATTTTTACCAGAACATTTACGAAAAATCAAAGACCCAGTTATCCAAAGAAACGGTTATTTTGGTCATCTTGAAAACCTCTTATTGGCTATGTTAGCTGATAGTCGTAAATCAGTGAGAGAACTAGGTCTAAGAAGATTATTAAAGTGTAGAACAACAGCAGGCCAACAAGAAATACGAGAATTCAAATTGCCAGCTTTTAAATTTGATGCTGAAAACTACATAGATATGATTGACTGGCACTCAACAACAATAACAGAACCTCCCTTAACAAAATGTATTTCCAATAAAGAACTAAAAGAAATGATTTTGGATGTTTCAACGGAAATTCAAATTTTAAAATATCCATGCCACACGCAAGCAGTAGAAAGATGTATCAAATTAGTTACAGAAGCGTCAGCTGCGGTGTGTGGAAATGCAGCAAGGGATGGATTTATAAGGGCACGAATCGCTTCTAGGGCAAGTTTGCCAGCATTCGAGACAAAGAGTCAATACCTTCAAGTTTTAAATGTTTAGTCACAAGTACAAAAAGGGTGGGAGGGCGGTGGAACTCGATATGCAGATACCTCCACGTGGTGAGTTCTGGGTTATTTCCTCCAAAAATATTACATTAGTTTTATATTTCTGATGGAAATAAGCAAAGAGCTGCATCACGGCAATTAAAAGTAATATATCTTGAATTTTTGAAATCTCAAGATCAAATGGGCAGTAGAAGATGACAACATCTGAAGCCCAATTTTTTTTCTAGAATTGACCATTATGTTAGGCAACTTTTTCACATATAGGCCAAATGATTTAGGCGATTTTTTTTTCGATGCCGTTTTCACTCCGCCCTATATTCATGTCTAAATATAATATTTATTGTAAACTAGTCACAATATGTATCTTACGAAGTGTAGATTATTTTATTATAAGTTTCTATAATATAAAATTTTACAGTTATAGATGCTGATTTACAAACAACAATAATTACTAGAAAAGAAAATTTATTTTTTATAGAGTTTTTTTTTTTTGGGCACCAATTGTGTCATTGTAAATGTTTTTTATAGGATACTAAACGATTGAAACAGTGGCAGAAAATATATCGTTCCTAGTGCCGATAAAGAACTTTCTAGAGATAATGCTGTTCTATACTTTTTAGAAGATATCAAATATTATGAGACTATTTTGACTAATGGTACTGTTAGCAAAATAAAAAGGAAAAAGCTTAAATTAAAGGATGAGGCAATACCATATACATTCCCAAATCTCCCTTTATACTTGTATTACAAAAATAAAAAATCTGTTAACTGTGTTTTATTTTACTCTTAAAACTATATATTGGTTCAATTCAAAATAAAAATTGCCACAAAATTGTACTTATCAAATTTCAGCAATTAAGAAACCCTTTAGAATTTGGTCATACATACCTAATTTGTATTTTATATAGATAAAATTAAATAATTTATCAATTAAAACATGCAAGACTTATTTAGAAATAAATACAACAGTATGTTCTGTGCTTTATTTAGCTGTAAATAAGTTTATTTTTATTATTTTGAAAAAATTATGTATAATTCCCATAAGAAGTCATGTATTTTGAACAACTCATGCGGTTAATTATAGAAGCCCAATTAGCAAGCGTTTTTTGGGACCGTATTTTGTTTTCATACCCATGACCTAATCACTGACATTGATGGCTGACTGCAAACAGAAAATGGTGTAAAGTCGTGGAGCCTTGAATTCAGATGTTAGAGCGATTAGATCGAACGACGTCGGTCGCATTCAGAGGTCACAGATACAGAAACATGGCTGAGGAAATATTATCTTGGCCAGCGTTGTAAATTTACCGATTTTCGATTTTTTTTTTTTTATTTCACCTAGGTACCGAATTTTAGCGACCTTTTATTTCTCTCACAAATACTAGTTTAAAAAATAATATCTAGCATAATTTCCAGATTTATTTGCCTCAATTTCAAATGTATTCAAGAATATGCTTTGAGTATTCAAAGTGTATGCAACACATTTTATAACTAATCCTTGGTGAAGCACCGAATGTTTCTTTGGGAATACCCTATTAGCTTTAATCTGTTATATAATTAATTACTATACACGATAAACTTAAGTTCTTTACATATCTGTTTTTGAAATGAATTATATTTTATCTTCAAAAAAAGATAACGAATTGTTCCAAAAAAATTACTGGCAAAGCTTTATTTCTCTGTCAACAATTACCTATAAAAATTGTATTTTGACAAAAAGACAGATGGGTGCAGTAATCACACGGTCGAATTCTCGATTTACTTTGCTATTAGAAACATTCAATCTGAGCTCTTCGCGTACCAATTGCATATCCAGACTCTAAAATAGAAATTACTACATAAAATATTTCAGTAGCATAAATAATTCTTGAATTAAATAAGTGTTTCTTTTGTTACAGAACCTCAAGAACCAAATCATGACAACGAATTTATGGGTTGAACAGGTACCTAAGTAGCACTCTTAGGTATAACGACCACTCCGAAAACACGAATCATTTTGCCTTGTCCTAGTTTTCCTACCTACACATAGCACCAAGTAAATCGTTTTAACCATTTTCACGATTCAGTTTTTCTCTCTTAGCATGTTCTATTTGATTTTCTGTTTTTATTTTAAAATAGTTCATTGTTGTTATGCATGAATTGTTAAAACGGGCACCAAATTAGAATACAATAAAACATTTTCTAAAATTGGTAAATCAAAATTGATTGCTGCCTTTTTATCAGAAAATATGGCAATTTAGATCTAATAGATACTGACAACAACTAATTTAAATGACAGAATCTCCATGCATAATGTTGCCATATACAAAGCTATGGATTGGAACTGGCCAAAAGTAGATCGATTATATTTATAATGAAATAAAATTTGGGCCCAAGGTAGCCCCTTGAGGCACTTCAGCATTAATATTGTAAAGGGCAACACAGTAGCCATCTAAAGCAACATATATTGTTGAATTTAACTTAGTTATAGTCTGACTATGTTTTGTACATATTGTAAGTCACCGCATAGAAGCAACATAACTATTTATGCTATTCTGTTAAAAATTCTTACGTTTATATAAAAAATCAATATCTGTATGTACACAATCTGGCTTACAAAATTCATATCTGGCAACGTTTCAGGAAATATTAGTAATGATCAGAAAATTCACTTAAGTATAAAATTATTAGACTTCGTAAAAGTTTCAATTTTCAAAGATCTGAGTTTTTAAAGATAGCTGGTAAATTTTAACTTAGAAAATATTGCTGATGATATTACATCAAACTTAAACAAATTCCTTGTTGTAATATAAAAAAATCAATGTAATTTTAGTTAAAATTTCTTTCAAATTTGTATGTAGATTATTTCAAGAATTAAAAACTTTGATTTTCCATCATTAATATTCATAAGATAAGATTGCGTTGATAAATACTTAATAATAACATAGATTTGACTTGTATAAATGGATCCCGAGTCAATTAATACCTAAATATCACACATTATATTTTTTAATATTTAAATGCAAGAATGTTGGGTACACATTTTAATAATTATTTAATTATTATGAACACGGATGAGTTTTAGTGACAATTATTGTTTAATATAACTTAATATTGGTAAATACCTTAGATTAAAGAAACCAAAGATGTAACACACACCGGTGTTTTCACCTGCCAATTTCTAACAAAGGGTTAACGGATTGGGGAAACTGAGAGGAGACCCGGACTCTGTTACAGGGACGGATTTTGTTTATTACCATCATAATGGACTATTATATTTACTAAAAAGGTGTTTAATGTATTGTTGTATTATGAAATAAAAATAGCGTGATTTTTTACTATTTATTTATTAAATACACTGCTCTACAGGCTAAATGCCTAGTTATAGAGCAGGAAAAAAATTGTAATTACAAAAGTAAATATAAATATAACATATTGCACAATAAGACATAATTTGGATATAAGATAAATTACACAACATAACAAAAATTACACAATATAACAAAAATTACATAATATGACAAAAAATTAAATAAATTAATGACTATACACAAGCAAATAGTACCGAAACAGCTTTACAATTTTTTGAGCTGCGAAAGCTTACAAGAAAATAAATCAATTCTACCTTGCAGGTTTTTGCAGTTTTCACACATAAAATACAACGGCGAGTTTTTCAATAAATTTGTCCGAGATAGCGGGAGATAAAACATTAAGTTGTTTCAAGATTCAGTTCTTGGCACTTTAAATACAAGTTGTTCTAATAACTCGGAACAATCAATTTGGTAGTTAATAAGTTTATAGAGGAATATTAATGACTGATTTTTTCGTCTACATTCTAAGCTTTGCATTTTAAATCTATTTAGAAGTAACGTGTGATTTATCCCAATTGGTGGATATGTTCCGTCTATCTTAAATGTCAAGAATTTTAGATATCGTCTTTGAACGTTTTCAAGAGCGCTTATGTGAATATCATAAAATGGTTTCCATATTAATGAAGCATATTCTAATTTTGATTTGACAAACGCATTGTACAACATATTCATGGTTTCGATAGAATTGAGGTCAACTGCATGCCTAATGATAAATCCCAAATTTCTGAATGATGCTTTTACCACGTCATTTAGATGTTCATTAAAAGTAAGTTTTCTATCGAACTTTACCCCAAGATCTATAACAAAATCAGGCCTATTTAATATAACACCGTCCAAACAGTAATTATAGAGAATTGGAAAATCTTTTTTGGTATATGACACTATATTACATTTTTTTGAATTTAATGGAAGATTATTTTTTAACACCAATTATTTATTTTTTTAATATTACTTTGTAATTTAAGACAATCATTTAAGATATCTACCTGATAAAAATTTTTGACATCGTCTGCATAAATTAAATATTTTACGTTAACGTCATTAATGATGTCATTTACGAATAGTATAAATAAAAGCGGTCCCAGAATCGAGCCTTGAGGTACGCACTTCAACAAATTGGGTTCTGTTTGTTAAGTATGATTGAAAAAAATTTATGACAGGCTTGGACAATCCAAACTTGCTAAGCTTTTGAAGTAATATTCTATGATCGAGTTTGTCGAAAGCCTTAGAAAAATCTGTATATATTACGTCTAGTTGACCGCCGCCATCAACTATTGTAGAACTGTATTGTGTAAATGAGAATAGATTTGTTATTGTTGACCTGTTCTTACAAAAACCATGTTGTTCGTCCACTATCTGATGTTTGACGTGTGGTATAATATTATCGTATAGTAAAATTTCAAAAACTTTGGCAAAATTACATATAATAGTGATGGGTCGATAGTTCTCAATACAATTTTTTTTACCTTTTTTAAAAACAGGACAGATTCTTGACCTCTTCCATGCATTAGGAAATGTACCAGTACGCAATGACAAATTAAATATTTTATTTAAAGGAATAGCTAACGCATGGGAATAATCGCGATCCATGAAGGATGGTATATTATCAGGTCCCTTAGTAAATTTAGATTTTAACTTTAATATTACCTTCGACACATCAGATTCTTTAAATTCAGCTATATGTACATGTAAATTATTTGATAAATCACTCTCAAAGTCAACATCAAAATTTGATGAATTACTGTAGGAATTTTTAAAGTAAGTAGCAAATCCATTTACAATATCCTGCATGTTTAAAAGATTTAAATCATCATAAGTCATAAATTCAGGTATTCCACCATCTTTCCGTTTAGAATTTACGTATGACCAAAAGTTCCCACTATTTCTTTTTATATTCTCTTGTAATGTTTTAACGTAGTCTTTATGTGCTTTCTCTACGTACTTTTTAATTTTGGATCTTAGCTGTTTAAATTCTTCGAAGGCATTTAAATCATTATTGCGCTTAAACTTTTTTCGTGCTTTCTCTTTTTTTTTTAATATATCTAATAATAGGTCCGTTGAACCATGTAGGGTATTTTCTTGCAGTTGGAACATATTTGGGAATACATATATCCATCATACCATGTAGTTAGCTTTACTATAATTAGCTTTACGAAAGTTATACTGTAAATTTTTATTTACTGGATTAGGTTTACTACGAGGATTAGATATTTGAAAATTAATATTCAAAGCAGGATGCGAGACATCTTCAGGAACCATCAAATCATATACCCTTTCAACAGTGCATGATTCATTACAGAAAACTAAGTCCAATAATCGATTGTTTATGCTAAATATATTATTATATTGTTTGAAATCGTGGAGATTTACGAAAGCATTTAATTCAACTAGCCGACCAGTGAGAGGTGCCATATTAGCATACTGGGGAACATTAAAGTCTCCTAAAACAAATACTTTCTCGTAATCAACAAAATTTAAGGTGGAGAGACAATCAAATAAGGCTTCATAATCAACAACTTTAAGACTTGGAGGAATGTATACAAGTAGTATTAATATTTTGTAATAATTTAATGTAATCGTAGTGCCTAGAATATCAATAATTGGAATAATATCGCTAATAAATGTTAGATCTATTTCATTACTAATAAATTTTTTATTGACAGCTAGCAAAACACCCCCACCGTAATTTAATTTAACTCGAGAAGTAGATCTATCCTTTCTATATATATGATAATTATCGGAAAATATCTCACAGCTACGAAAAGATTCGTTTAACCAAGTTTCTGTCAATGCTACAAAATCAAAATCGGACCGAAGAAAAAACAAGTAAACGGTATTTATTTTAGTTCGAATTTCACGGACATTCTGATAATATAGATAGCAGGTCAAGTTTTTATTAGAAATATTAAATAAATTATTTTGCGGGTGTAGAGCTGTACCACCAATGGTTAATACATCCGACTGACTCATTTGCGATTGCTATGCTACATAAAGTGAGGATTTTAATTCATCTATATGACGTTGGTAAGAATTACAATGGGTGTCCCATGCAGCATGATTTACATTAATTTGAACCAGAGAATCCCGTTCCATCACCTTTACACAATTTATACATTTTAATTCATCAACTGAAGCCTTACATTCTTTTACAGCATGTTTTTCTGCATACCTTGGACAATAAATAGTACTACTGGGACAATTTTTTGAAAAATGATTAAAACCATTACATTTATATCACCTCTTAACAGATACACAATCATAAACAGAGCAGACATCAAAGCCAATAAATAGCTTACCTTCACCATTCGTCATGATATTATTATATGATGCAACATCAACCTGCAAAGTTGCTTGATAAATTTTTCTATTCTTCTTAGTGCAAGATATATCTAAAACTTTACATTTAATAGAATTAGAACAAAATACAGATTTATTTTGATTTAAAAAGATATCAAAAAGATGCAACGACATTTTATGTACGTAGAAGATTATAATTATTTTATAGAATATTTTATTAGCGTTTATTTACTACGGACTACAATAAAATTTGAAAATAAAATATTGTCAGTCAAGCAAGGAATGATACTAA